GATTCGATTTGGCATCACTGGCATCCATTTTGCATCAGTGAATGCATCGGTCCCGAGTCCTTTTCCGCGTGAAATCTAACGTGACATCATCAAATCTATTGTTTTAGAGCCCTACGTCACGTTAGATTTGGCCGCTGAGCGATGCATCGCATGCAGATTGCGGGCGCTCGCATCAGTCCACTGATGCAAATTGCAAAATCAAATCTACTGTGACGTAACGAGGCATTCGATTCAAGTCATGGCGGCAAGGATTTTTGGATATGAATAATGCGAAGACAAATCCCTCGAAATTGACAGATAACAAATAATTTACAATCGAACCAATTACTACCAAGTGGAAAAATGGAAGGGATCTTATGCCCACGATGTGAAACTCGATCGAACCGAGGGCTCTAATTTATAGTAAGTTAAATTTCTCTATATTTTTACAAATGGTAGTAAATTACTAAATTGTTCAGTTCAAGAAGTGTGTAATTAAAGTGGAAAATGGGGGTCCACAACTAATATAGATTTGTATGTAATAACAAAATAATTACAGTTTGTATCTATTACTGTTGTTGTTGCTCTATATTCTACCAGAAAGATGTTAGTGGTTGGGGGGGGGGGGGAAGTTTTACATTTTACAGAGGTTTGCTTGTCTGGAGGCAAACCAGCCCCAATACAAAACTTCATAGCTTGCTTTACTGAGGCAAATTTCATTTTCATCTCTGTTTACATGGGATTATATCCTGTGCCCAGACCTTCATTTTTCTCACAGCTGGCGGGCAAAGAAAAATGAAGCCCTGATACACATGTTATTAAATGTTTGTGTCCTACAACTGCCTTTATGGTTCATGGTTGTAACTCCGATTGGCTATTTCTAGCATGAGTATTCATGCCATATTTAATGTATTGTTTTGATAATTGGTTAATGCTATAATTAAATAATGTTGTTATGATATATTTAGTGATTGTAACTATATTTAGCTTGCTATTATGTGAAATTGACATTTCTTCTGGCACATTTTGATTGGATACCAAAAATAAAACTGTAGTGTGGGTGGAAAGTAACTCTGAATGGATCAAGACTTGCATCAATCGTGGTATGTAATCACAGAGCATAATTGCAGGTTAATGATATTTCTAATAGTAATGCAACATTGCATGTTACAGTAGAAGACTAAGGGGGAGTTTACATGAAAAGTAATTGTTTCAAGTTGCAACTTCCAGTGGTATCTCCTATTTCATTTCATTTTCATTTTATATGGAAATGAGCTGGCATGCCTTGTGACAGGGTTCTTAGGTGCTGATTACATGGTGCCGAGCTGGCCCGGTTAACCGGGCTGACTCGTTTGTTTAGGACCTTACTGTGGTTTTAAAACTCGTGTAAAATAAACTTGCGATAAATAATTGGTTTATTATAGATGCAAAATCATCCTAAACCCGATTTAAAACTCATTTTGCGGCCCAAGGAAGATTTTCGTGACATTTTTCAGCCCGGTTAACCGAGCTGGCCCGGTCCATGTAATCAGCCCCTAACTTTGCATTGCCTGAATTATTTGGCAATTACTGTACACTAGCTGGATATTTTGCAAACAAAGATGATAACCTGGGATTGCTCGCCTACCATAGTTGAGTGTTTATATGCTTTGTCTGTGCAAATATAATTTGATATAAGCTGTATATGTCATATGATATTCTCCTGACAGATTTTAATCTTGGAATCAATGATAAAATGATGGACGGTATAAATACTGTATATACTGTAACTGGTGTATACAAGTTATAATTATGAAATTTGCTCACAAAAGTGGGATAGTTTGGAAAATATATTTAATTAAATTATATATTTGTAATGCTAATTATCCCAGTATTATGTTTTGGATAGCCAGCATGCCACCCTGAGGATTACCATTGATAAGTGTATGGATATTTTTGACAAGATGTGCATTTATATAATAACATAGGAAAAATTAAATATTTATCAATACTACTGTGCAGCCTTTCTTAAAGGAGTACTATATTAATATTAGTTGAATGTCAGGCAAAAGGGCACAGATATAAGACATATGAAAAAATTATGTCATGTTTATCATTGTACAGTTTGGTATTGGTTTATTTAACAAACAATTTCCAACTAAGATAGCTTCATTAAATTAATTTACACATGCAGTCTCTATTGATTTAAAACATGTGGTTGGGTGTGTACCTAGTGTGTACCTGGAGTACTGTTGTGTGGTATGGCATCATGCCCTACCTTTGTACCTTGCCGATGATTTAGAGCGAGTGCAAAAACGAGCGCTGAGGATCATTTTACCGGGTTGCTCTTATAGGGAAGCATTAGCACAACTTGGGTGTTCCAGATTAGATGAAAGGCGAGAACGACATTGCCTCAATACTATGAAACGCATAGAAATTGAAGGACCACTGTCAAAATATGTTCCATTGTCCAGGGCTAGTTCAAATGATTATGAACTTAGAAACTCTAACACATTAACAACAATAAAATGCCGAACAGAAAGATATTGCCGTAGCTTTTTTCCCAGTACAGTAGCTCTATATAATAGTTATAGTAAAGAAACTTAAGCGTGATACTTAATTACGATGATTTTAATGCAATTCAATAAGATTTTTAGACTTGATGCATGCAACTAAATTTTTTATATATGTAAATATATAGCGTACCAATTTTGTAAACGCACCATAATTCAATCTATTGCGAAGGTGTGTATCTTAAACCATTAATAATAATAATAATAATATATTTATATAATTTTAAACCCAGTGTTTGTTGTGTGTTAGTTTACTGGTTTCCTCGCCACAAGGCAATATTCTCAGTATTCAGAGTGTGGGCTGTTCACCATGCAGTTCATATCAAAGGCAGCTAGGGGCAAATGAAATTGACCAACTGATGCCAACCACACTGTCCATGAGAGTAAGATTAGCAGCATAAGACAGAGTTGCATATATTTACCCAGTAAAGCACAAAATACCTTTATGCACCATATTTTATTTTACTTTAAATTCTGATGATAGAAGATTTTACTTATGGAACATTGGAAATTAATGGGGGAAGGTGGTTCATAAACAACATAATAACACTGTCTTCTGAGTCCAGCAATGCAACTAGTGGAGCACACTGTATACACCTTTGTTACACAATATGTGTGTATTTGCGTTGTCGTGATTTTCTGCCGAAATGTTTTTCAATAGAAAAGTTAAGGCTACAAGAAGCACAGTACTGACTATTTTTTAATAGAGACTTATTCCCACTGCTGCTATTACACTTGTACAAGCAAATTTTTTTTTCTTATATGGAGAAATTATGTTGTTTTTGAGATATAGGTTCAAGTATTTTACTTGTTTTTCCAAAAAATGCAGCAAAATTTTTGATATATGAATTGGAATAAAAGAGTTCGCTCAGAACGCAGGAAATCGCATTTCCGAGGTCCTAGATTTCAAAATTTCCCGGGGGAGGATACCCCCAGACCCCCCTACAAATGCGTGATCTTATGTATGCATCAGTCAGCTTAGGAGCTGGATCCGCCCCTGCCAGATATAGAAATAACTAGAACTGCGAGAATTGCGTATAGCAGTAAACGGCACCCAAAGAAAACCTTTGATGAATTCGGCAATGATTTTCGTTTTTCCCTTTTTCGCCGACAACCGTACTTAACTAGACTCATGATATTGGTTGTTGCGATTTCCTTGCATATGTAGAAAATAGCATGTTGTTGCACCAAGTTAGAACAATTCTTTGGGACATAACAATTCTTTGGGACATAAAGACCACATAAGGTAATATAGATATAGAGAAATAACCAGAGGTAAAGGTTTCTACAGCAAAACTTCATCAAATCTATCAGCATCATGATGGAGAAAGTACGATTTAAACGTTCTGTTGATTAGATTATTTAGCAGACGGCGGTCGATAAGTGCGATGGACACTTGAGGGAATTTGTAATTAATACGGAAGATACTTGAGATTATATCTCGCTGCAATGTCAGGGAAAACCACGCCAATGAAGGGAAAATGAATCAATAGTATAGACTAGCCGATAGATAACAAACAGTTTAGCATCAAGCAGAGTTGATTAACTTGTAAGCCACCACAATAAAATAAAGTCCTTGAATTGTTTACTGTTCCAGAACTTGAAATAATAAAAGGTTATAAAGCCACGAAGTCACGCGCAAAATTCAAATTTACTGTTGCTACGAAACGTTAGCCCTGTCAAAACAAATCCCAACGGTCAAGACGCGAAATATTGAAAATAATTGCGAGAACACAGTATGTTTCGAGAATAAATAACTTGGATAGTATGAAGCAATACCAAGGACCAAGGCCAAGCACTGTAACAATTATTATGTTGATATTCAAATAAGCAATCAGAAGAATGCGATGTCTACAAATTATGAGACTCTTCGTATATCAGGCGGTCAAATGTATAACCTGATATTATAACCACTGGAAGATACCAAACGAACCAAAAAATTGTCAGTTGATGATCACAATATTCTTAGCTTTGGAAATTTACGAAATAAATGGAAAAAATATTTAAAGTATATATAATTTTTGCCAATAAATTGCCAACGGTTGCCACCACGTCAGGTCACGTAAGGTCGTAAGAGTCAATATGAATTTTGAAATTATCAAAAAATTTAAAAATTACTTCTTTGCTTTTTTGGGGCATCTTGTTTACAACATGAAATTTATAACAGTAACTAAGTGTTCAAGTTCAACAAAGTGTGCAAGCCAAAACACAGTGTTTGTACATCTTTAAAGTTTTTTGATTGCTTCAAATATATTTAAAAAGACACATAGTGCTTAAAATTATTTATTTTAATATAAACCAAGGATGGGAAGGTGGGGAAATGGGAATTTTCTGAGGTGTTTTTAACACAGACAATGACAGCCGACATTTTGAAAGGCACTCTGCGGTGACAAAACTAAAAGCTATTCACTTCTGTACTCAAAGCACTGAAAAGCATCATAAAGAGAAAAACACTTTAAACACATGCCAGGTAAGACTTTTAGCTCAATATTTTCATGCTTCTATTGGGAAAACAACGGTTTAAAAGCCAAAATTATTTTGCGCGCCAATGTAGGCTGCTATAAAATGTCAGACAGGCGGTTTCTTTTGAAGTCTGGCTCTGAAAAACAATCTCCTTTTTTGTGTTTGAAATAAGCCTTCATAAGGACTATTGTGTAGAAATGTTATCTATATCCTCACATGAAAAAGGTAACCTAATTTTCAGGTATTCCACATAGCTATAAAAGGGTGAAATAAGAAATTTAATCTTTGGTTGTTTGTCAGACGTGAGAAACCACATTAGTGCCATTTTGTCGCGCGTGCTATTTTATAAAATAAACACCTCAAAACCATAAACCTTTAGTTCAGAAAATTACAAAGTTTCCCATAGACATTATTAAAAATGTTCTAGTGAAGCGATTTCATGATAAATAAGTGAGCAATGGGCCCAAAAGAACTGCTAAGGTTTGTTTTTGTTAGGAC